GTGAACTGAATGAAGAGCCACAAGGGAACATTGCTCTTGCTGATGGGAATTCCATCTCAATCAGAGGAAAAGGCAAAATACCCTTGAGATGTTTTAATGGAGAAGTGCCCACATACCAAAAGAAAGGAGATCCAAACTAGACGCAAGGGGTACAGAATCCTGAACCCAAAGACGGGAAGAGTAAGTGTATGCAGAGTGGTCTACTTTGATGAGAGGGAGAGAGGCTGCTGCACTCAGCTGGATAAAGTCTGCGGAGAAGCCAGCAGCAGCAGTTACCAGCCTGAGATGTTCAGCCTGACACCAGAAGACACAACCGCACCAACCCAGAGGGAGATGGAAGTCCAGGAAGAGACTCCACCAGAGACAGATGATGAGGCGGAGGATGCAGAAGAGGGTGAACCACCAGTCGTTGCTCCTGAACCTGCTCGGAGACGCTCATCACGACCCAACAAAGGAGTTCCAGCTGACAGGCTTACCTACCTCGCAAGGTCGTTGCTACCAGGCGAACCCGCATTGTGGAATGAGGTGCTGCAAATGCCAGCAGATGAGGCAAGTAAGTGGCAAAGGGCAGCACAGGAGGAGCTAGATGCTCTGGACAAAAACAAAACATGGACTTTAACTAAACTACCAAAAGGCAAGAAGGCCGTAGGTTGTAAGTGGGTGTTCAAGGCAAAACAAGACGAGAATGGCGAAGTACAAAGGTACAAGGCCAGACTGGTAGCAAAAGGACTACGATGAATGTTTTGCTCCTGTTGTGAAACCAACCACCACAATTAGAACGCTTCTAAGTCTAGCAGCATCCGGGAACATGGACGTTGAACACTTAAATGATAAAACTGCATTTTTACATGGGGAGATAGAAGAAGAACTTTACATGACATAGCCTCCAGGCTTCACTAATCCCAATATCTCGTTTGCAAGCTTCAGAAGGGGATTTATGGCCTGAAGCAGGCGGCCAGAGCGCGAAACAAGAAGTTAAACCAAATACTTCTTGACCAGGGTTTCGTTCAAGGAAAAGCTGATCCCTGCCTGTACACAAGACACAGAAATGGAGGGATGTGTATATACTTTGTTATGTGGATGATTGAATGATTTGCCACAATAGCAAGAGGAACTTTAATGATATTGTTTCTCGGCTAAATAGAGAAGTAGAAGTGAAGCATCTGGGCAATGCCAGCTACTACTTAGGAACACAGATCGAGAGAGAAGAAGATGGGAGCTTTCTTCTAAGCCAGAGCCAAAAGATTCGAGAACCGTTGGAGAGCTTAGGATTGCAAAATGCCAATCCTGCGCCTACAGCGATGGAGACGGCTTTCCACACGCAGTCTCCTACCAGAGAACGATGACTATAGAAGTGCCATGGGAAAATGGTGGTATCTAGCCGCCACCACTAGACCAGACGTTGCAGCTGCAGTGGGCATTTATGCAGAAAGAGAAGCACGCCCACACAGAGGGACTGGACTGGTGTCAAGCGGGTGGGACGGTACCTAGAGGGGACCATGCAGCTAAAACTAAAACTGCCAGCCACTGAGAATCCTAGACGAGTGGGTTTCACCGATGCCGACTGGGCAGAAAACATGGCTGACCGCAAGTCCACTAGTGGCTATGTATTTTTCTATGGGGGTGGAACAGTGAGCTGGAGAAGACACAAGCAAAGCACAATAGCACAGTCCTCTGCAGAAGCAGAGTATGTGGCAGCAACAGACGCATGTAACGAGACTGTGGGGCTTAGATGATGGCTGGCAGACACGGGTACAGACGAACCGGCCCCCGTACAGATCTTTGAGGACAACCAGAGTTGCATCAGACTTTCGCAGTCAGAGAAAGTAGGTGGGAGGACTCAGCACATTGATGTGGTGAGAGAGTTGCAGCAACAAGGGCTAATCCAACTAGGCTCCTGTCACACAGGAAACGTGACAGCGGACGTCTTCACGAAGCCGTTGTCGAGAACCAGTTATCAGAAACTAAGAGAAGAACTAAATATTGTGGGACACGGAGACGTGCATGGTTGAAAAGAAGGGGCGATGGAAAATGTGGGGGCTCAACCAAGCCTGTCTCACACAAGCACAAAGGGAGGGGCGGCTCCGCTGCGGCCTAGCTTGCTGCCTTGTGTGGGCGGGGCTTGGAGCCCACCTTTTTTCTGCTTCCCTCATTTTCTTTCTCTTCTCCTCATGGCTCTCCATGAGGTGGGAATGACTCCTCTCTCCTCCTCGGGGTTTTTGAACTAACATTTCACAACCCCAACAAGAGTTACGATCAGAGTTCATTATTTGGCAAAGGGGTCTTGAGGAGAGAAGAAATACATTTAAATTCTTACCCTGGAAACCGATATTTTCCATCCTGACCCATTGTTTTGTTGAATGTCCTTTATACAAGAACGGTATTTGCCAATGGGGCCGTTTGATAATATGCTGTATTTTTAACTAGGGGACACCTCTTCCTCCTCCATTTTGCGACAGGTATAGAATTGAAGGGATCAATATCTAAAGCGGCAATGAGGCAATGTCTAACTTGGCAGTGTGAACTTCATAGCTTTGGAGCATGCGCAGAGTTCTCTATAGCCAAGCTTCAATACTAACAGCACTTCGCGAAATTGCAAGAGGAAGCAACTAGCCACAGACGAGCTAGCTCAGATAGTAGGGGAAACTCCTCCCGAAGGGACTAAGTCTGAGGCCTGATAAGAGGAGGGAGGACCCAGAACAAGGGTCTGCCGGGACTAACAAGGTATAAGAGTTAGGGGGAACGCCTTTAAATTAATGTAAGCAAACAAGGGCGGGGAAGAATGTATTCTGCTAAAGTTTATTTGACTGGTTGTAAAACTCATCTTCATTATGATGGTAATAAGTTCTGCCCTTTTAAAAATATTATAAAAGGCTGTGTTTTTGTCTCCCAAGGGGTGCCACCCTGCTCTCTCTGGGTGCATGGTGTGGGCACCCAGGCTTTTGCTCGGCCAAATAAGACGCTGCTTAGAGAAGTCCGTGCTCGAAGTCTTTTATTCTGTGCTGCTGATGGATTTCAAGTTTTCTGGGTAGCCGTGAACCTTACAGAATGTTTCTTTTTATTCTGTTCTATGTTGATTTAAAACAGATGAAGAAAATTTGTTTCTGCCAGTTAGAAAAAAAATTGTCGGGAGTATCTGTTGCAAGAGTTTGAAATAAATACAACATTATTGCTGCTTTATGACCTAAAATGCTTAGATAAATAATTTTCCATCTTTTCATCTCCAGGGAGTCATAATTATTATTCAGCCGTTTATTTAAATTCTTCAGTATATTCCTAGATCTCCAAAACTTTTGTGTTCCAGGGGAGTGTTTAAGATATTATACATTTTTGCTTATGGGGTGATGTATGAATGCCAACTTTGGCAGATTTTCTAAAAAGTAACTGTTAAGCCAGAGATTCTTGCACATTGTTAAATTCTCTCTAAAGGTAGGCGAAGTGTGTTGCATTGGAGAGAGTTATGATCGTGTCATCGGCAAATAAATTTAGTCAATAACTGTCACTCTCTATGTTAACCCTCTGGATGTGATCATTTGTGCAAAGCGCAATAAATAGTCAATATATTTTAGTCAATGACTAAAATAAACAGTCATGGAGAAAGGAGACATCTCGTTATAAGAAATTCTTCTGAATCAAAAATCCTTGTTCTTGCTTGTAGGCCAA